TCGTCAATAAACTCAACAGGGAAATTGGCATGGAGAGATTGCGGGTCAACACTGACGAGATTCCTTAATCTTGCCTCTGAGTTTAAATATCAGCTTCTTCCTCCTTGCCTCCTTTTCATTTGGACTGTTATCTTCTGTCGCCGAATCTGGTGCATCTTGCCAATCCATGGCAGCCAACATGTCTGCGACGTCGCTTCGGGCATCGGTATCGTCGCGGTCGAGCTCTTCCAGCTCGAGTTCGAGTTCCCTCAGCTCCGCCTGAAGATAAAGCAGATTTCTGGCGGCAAGTCTCTCATATCGTCGATATATGGAAGAGCTGTGCTCCTTATCGTCGGCTAGGAAACTCGCGACGTCCGCGAATCCCACGAGCTCTTCGGGACCATTTCCTTTTTCTTCGTCAGACGGCATTCATGAATCAGAATCTCAATTATGATTCTTGCGGCGACAATGAGCCAGGGCACTACAAAGGACTTTGATTCATCGCTGTCAGTTTGTGCTCAAGACTCATGAGTGTACAATACACGAAGGCGTCTCGTATCCAAGAGCACTCGACAAGATGACTTCATGCGCCACCCCAAGTGGTGCCCAGAGCAGCCTGGCAGCCTAGTGAGCCTCAAAGTCTGCCTTGGTTGATCAGAAGTGCCCGACAACCACTAAAATCGTGCCAACTCAGCCACGCATGTTTGGGCTCTTCCAAACATTGCTTTTCGAAAGGGTCGTCTCGTGCCCGACCCTCGAAATTCCATAGTCGTTCTCCGCACAGGACGCCGTCACCGTTCTTGGACTTTCGTCGCCTTTGAAATGAGCAATATAGTACCTCAGCGAACGATGGCATCCATCCTCGTGGACCGACGCCCAGTCAAGACTCACATTGCGTGAGTGACCTACATTTGCTGTGAAAAGCGGGTTGCACTACCCTATTGAACGATATTCCTCTTGAAAGACCACGCACATCTCAGCAACACCGTTCAGGGTCGTACGAAGGCAATTGTCGAAGTCTGACTCTGGTAAACACTTCCTTGACTTATTCTGGTCCCGTTTTGACTGACATGGAGCTTGCTATGTACAGACCGCGGAAGGGAGGTCACATCGCTCTCAAGGGAACGACATAGTTACCCAGATTTGCCGGCATTTCGAGCCGTCAATATTGACGCCCTTCGCACGCCGAGACTCGAGTACCTGTCAAAAACCCCTCGAGAGAGCGAAAAGATGAGACATCTCAATATAACTAAAAGCACTCCTGCACCGGCTGGCTTACACAACCCGCCTTCGCCCATGCCAGGCTTCTCGAATGAACGCTTCCGACCTTCCTGGGATCAATTCACTGTCGACCCCCATCAGCAACATAATTCCCCAGCTGAATCGGACTGGAGCGGAGGTAGAAAGACACCAGCCTTGGGTAAAAGATCCCAGGTTATACACAGACAATTTGCGTATGGCACCTAAAGGATTACGATTTTATTGTCCTTTCCCAGTTGCGAGAAGCATTACATGCGGCGAGGCGACTTTGAAAATCATATAAGGGCAATTCATGGGCATGGGCAAGGGGAGATACCAAATGTGCGAAAGTTTTTACTTCGTGCACCTGACCCCAACAAGCAAGTTGGTGAAGCCTCAGACGAGCATAATGTGACTTGCATGTCTTTCAATGCTGCATCCCCCGCGACTTCGAGACCCATCGCTGGAAATCCTTTCATTCGACAGGGGAGATTGATGGACTTTGACATGATGATCAATGACGTGGAAGTCACCACTGTTCCCGACACTGGTGCGGACGTCAATGCGATGACCCTCGACACACTCTTCCAGTTGCAACGAAGCGTCGTGGCCCGTAAGGAGGAGATCGGCAATATAAAACTGGGCAATGACACCTCCGTAAATGCGTTGTTCCGAGTCTCTCTTCGTTGTTGTCTCCCCAGCATCTATGGGGAACCTCAAGAACCATTCAGGGCAGACTTCCACATCTTTCTCAAACTTGCCAGCGGCGTGAGGGCCATTGTCGGCTACAAGTTTCTTGAAATCACCCAGATGTTGACGTCTCAAGCTTGGCGTCTCAAGCCTAGATTCAACCCAGGCCGGCATATTCCCCGCTGTATGAGCATTGGACCAGTTCCTTCGGCAGGGCTGCGCTTGAAGATCTTCCTCGACAAAAATCTCTTTCTTGCGCTTCCTGATACCGGATCCGAGATCAACCTGATGTCCAAAGCCTGTGCGGTTAAGAATGGACTTACGATCGTCCGGACAGTGCAAGAGGAGACGCGAGAAGTCGAATTTGCCGATGGCCAATTCGAGGAGATTGTCGAAAAGGTTGTCGTGACAGTACAGGCTGCTGACTGCTCCGAACAGACTGACCTTGCGGTGTCGGATAGTAAACTTTCCGCAGCAGGGGAAGCCTCTGGAATTCAGCGGTCCAGCTCTCTACTTGCCAATCAGCCATCGTACAAAACCAAGGTCAGCATCGCTGAGGAGCCTATACTGCAAACATTTTATGTTATCGACAAGATCGCACACGATGTGATTCTCAGCCAGAGCCTGCTTCATGCGATGGATGCGTGGAATCTGCATCAATCTGCATTCGTGTATACCGACGTTCAAGGGTTTGAGAAGTCTATGTGCACCATCTTTGTCAGGGATAGTAAGGGGAACAATCACCCCAGAGAAACCAGTAAGATCAAGATCCCTTCTCAACATCGCAATCTCCAAGCGCGTGAATGACTAACTCACGGGATTTGTGGTTTAGTAACACAGTTTAAGCAACGTGAAGCTTTCCGTCAGAGTGAGGTGGCAAAGAAGCAGAAGAGGCTCAATAGGGACATCAAACGGCGGGCGGGAGATACAGAAAGACAGACGACGTTACGACAGAAGCTGGCTGAATTGAATCAGAAAGATCAAGCCGCCCGGGTGAAGTTTGACGAAGCAGTGAGGGCATTCACATCACCATGAGTATGGGAGTCTACATGATCATATGTCATCAACAGCACTGGGAGACGACTTCTCCTATTTGAAGTTGCTGTTCGAGTAGGCCACAAGGATGGCTTCCTACCAATCCGGAGGAAGTTGATTGAATGACAATTTATGTGGTGTCTTGGATGTGTGGCTTTCTCGGCGAAGGCGTTACAGGATGGATGACGGAGTACTATTACATATTGTTATTCGGAACGATTGACGAGTTGATGGGATCCAGACGTGCACGGAACGGATGTGCAACATCTCTACCGGACCACAATCACAGCCATGATCTAGCGAGACAGATTTTATCAGATTCTAGGATAAAATGTGTTTTTTCTTGCTGATCCATGTAAAAAGTGTGAAGAGATGGTATCAACAAGACGTAAACGTGAGAAGACTGTGTTTACAACGGAGTATGAGGCTGGTAAAGTCATTCAACCTGACCATACAAAACGGCACTCAGCTGCGTTAAGCACTGTGTCATGTCTCTTTAGACCCAAGCTTGATGTTCTTCATGGGCGTCATCCACAGCTTGACCCATGCAGCAGAAACTCCCAATGCGCCAATCCTGCTACCAAAAATTAAAATAACACATTGAATGTCACCACGGTTCAGGGTGTTAACCAGAACGCTTCCGCGCTCGACCAAGCTATGCTTCGACGCCCTTGGTTGGAAACATAAATTGGCGCAGCGGGATCGTACTGGATTTTCTTCGTTTTACTTTTCGTCTGCATCAATTCATCCGTTTCGTGATCAGTATCCTTCAGATATCATATGCCTTCAGTTGTTGTTCTGGCTGTTGAGGATTCGAAGAATCGAGAGGAACAAGTTGATGATGTCAAGGTAGAGGCTGATGCTGGCGGCAATTTCTTCCTCCACGTGATAGTGTCTCATGACCAGCTGAGTGTCCACGAGAATGTAGCCACTGAAGATCACAGCCCCAGCAGCACCGAAAATCAACTCAGAGGTGGAGGTATGGGGGAAGAACGCAGCCATGAACCCGAAGATGATCAGAATCCACAGACTGCCAGCAAGGTATGGAATCCAGCTTGTGAAGTCATACTTGGACTGACATGCGAAGAGGGTCAAAGCGACGAAGATACCGAGCGTGATGATAAGTGCTTCGATGACGATTCGACTTTCGTAGAACGAGGTGATGACACTGATGCTGTATGCTTCCAAGCCGGTGAAGGCGCCGAGAAACAGGAGATTTGTCGGGTAGGACTTGCGCTTCCAGAACGTGAGGAGCATGAAGGCAATGGCGCCGAATAGGGATGTCCACATCATCCACGAGTTTGTTTGGATCCAGTTCTTGTAGCCTGCGGAGAAGAAGGAGAGGCTGGACAATGCGGCCGTGAGGAGGAGCTGGACGGTCAGGATGGTATAGACCTTGCGGATGAACTGCATGCGGATGTCGAGCGTAGCCTCGGAGACGGAGCCGCCGAACTGCAAATGAACGTTAGATGGGTGTTGATACTATGCAGTGCATCCAAACGTACCTTGAAGTCATCTGGGACGTTGTCGTCCTCGGCTCTGGGTGTGCTGCCATATCCTCCTTCAGCGACACTGGGGCCTGCAGCCTGATAACTTGGAGGCGGCTGAGGATAGGCGCCCTCGTCGAGCGAGTCGCGCTGTGGAGCGGGTTGGTATTTGGTGGTAGAGGCCATATCGATGATCTGGACGATGACGAGTATGGGTGTACAGGTATGAAGAGATGAAGATGGATTTAATGTAACGAAGTGATGGTATGGATAGGAAGATGTTAATATAAGTGGCGGTTGGTGGTTGCGCTATGACTGCATGTGCCTGCGAAACGTCGAATCTTCCAGCGTGACGAACGGTTCAATCACGTGCGTAGGAAAAGGCGCCCGAGTCATGTGACCCTATGGGCAAAGAAGGGCGGGGAAATGCTCGAATCTAACACAGCCTCAAACAACTGCGGCCATTTCCACAATGATGAACAAACACAGTGCACGAGAATGACTCTTCCAAAAAACAGGGCCAAAAAGAAACCGAGAAGAAGATTTCGATGGAGCAAAAACAAACATTGTTGCGCGAACCGTGACTCGAACACGGGCCTCGAGCATGGGAAGCTCGAATTCTACCCTTAAACTATTCCTTTTGAAGTTGTTAGGATAGTGCTACATAGAATTGTCCGAGAGAACTTACGCGCTGAACTGGGGAGTATATCAGAGAAGATTTTTGATTGTTTAAATATATGACTGAATGGTTTATTCTAGGCGGCAGGACCGGTTTCTAGGCCTTCTAGGCGGACCGTGGACGACATTGGGCAAGGGGTGGTGCTTAAATCTCCGCTAAACCTCAACTCGGAGACTCCCGAAGTCCTTAATCATTATCAACATTAATGCATTCATTTTCTGTTCGCCACTTCCATGATGGTCGAAAATGAGGCACCCATGCGGCCAACCGATTTCCCCCATGGCATCAAGTATATTCCTCCCACTATATTGTTTTTGTTTCATGACCTTTCCCAGCCCATCGGCTTGGACGATCGAGTCTCAATGGGACTACCTTTGAAGGCTGACAGCCTGATAGCGTCCTACATGTGTCGTCGATTGTTGCTGGCAACGCGACCTCTGGGTCATGACGAATTTCAACGGCGAGGCTTCCTTGTCGGTGGACGAGATGAACAGCAAGAAGCCATCATGATATCCCTACAACTACTAGCCCGCGCCAGCGTAATCTTTTCCTTTATCACAACAAGGACGTTCATAGAAGTCCCCGATCCTAACAGTCGTCAGAGGTATATGTTCCATATACATGTGTGCAGTGATCCCCTAACAGGAAGGTCCACACTCCCGCCAGGACGCAACAGGACATTATATCCTTGATATATGAGGCTCTCCACCAATGGAAGCTCCTTCGATAAATGTTCTGACTCTTCTGGATTGCTAACAAGTGGATCAATATCTGTCAGAGTTCAGGGTGGATAGCACATTAATATACCGAAAATCTCACACAACCTCCAGTGCTTGACGGATCATTTCTTCCAAGGACTCCATTCATCTCCCGGCATTTGCTTTATCTGAGGTCCAAATACTGTCCTAGTCGATACCGAACGATTGGAACAGTCTATCTTATTACTGTTCAGATAGACGCAGGGACCATCGCTGGCTCCAACGGGCGACGATGACGTACAGTCTCATGCCTAGAACACCAGGAACATGTTCAGATTGCGTAAAAGCAACTTCCATTAAACCTCGACATTCTCCACGTAACGGGGATTCTCCGACGGGTGTGAGGTAACAAGAATGGCCTTTAAAGCTCCTACCAACCACTCATTTTGTTGTTTTCTTGCACACGACCTCGCACCTCAAGCGAGCCCTACCACCCAGCATGTCTTCTTCTCTTGCCAACAGGAAGAACTCCACCACAATTGCGAGACAGGACTCGCTTACATCAGCGGAACAAGTACCGATCAAAGAACTCGTCAATGCGTCTGGACACGTCCAAGAGCTTGATCGCCAGTTCAACCTTGTGAGCTTGGCGGGTTGTGGATTGGTCGTCGGTAATGTAAGTAATTCGCCTTACGAAGACTGTGCCATAGAAGCACAAGTCTCTCATTTCACCCTTGCTTTCATCGAGAAGCTTTCTGACAAGTCGTAGGTTTGGCCTGCCCTGGGAGGTTCGATCCTCGTTGCCATTTACAATGGAGGCGCTCCAGGTTCGCAGCAAGCACTTCTTCTCAGGTTTACCACGTATTGACATTTCTACCAGGAGTCTTGTACGAGTTTATTGCGGTGTCCATATTTTACTGGATTGTTGCTGCAAGCATTGCCGAACTCGCCTCTGCCATTCCATCCTCCGCTGGTGTGTACCATTGGGCCTCAGTTACGCCCGGACGAAAATGGGGTCGTGTGAACGGTACGGAGGCTCGGTCACTGCGAGATCGGCTTTGCTAATTCTGACTGCAGGCTTCTTCGGCGGATACTGGAACTGGCTTGCATGGGTCTTTGGCTGCGCTTCAATGGCATTCATCTTCGCGAACACGGTCGTCCAGATGTACGGTGTCACGCACGCTGACTTTGTGGCTAAGCCATGGCACGTTTTTGTGGTCTACCTCATTGTTACCTGGCTGGCTTGTTTTATGGTCTGCTGCTTCAACCGAGCAATGCCATACATGACCCAGGTCGGCATTTTCCTGATCTTGGCTGGTTTCCTCATCACCGTCATTGTGTGGTAAGTTTGTGGTTTCGCAAAATTCAACGGATATTTCCTGATAACATGTCCAGTGCTGCGATGCCAGGACGTGGTGGAAGACCTCCTCATGCGACCTCGAGCTTTGTCTGGACTGAGTGGAACGCAGATATTGGCTACAGCGGCGGACTGACATTCCTCCTGGGAATGCTTAATGGAGCCTTCGCCGTTGGGACGCCCGATGTCACCACTCATTTGGCTGAAGAGATCCCGAACCCTCAGCGCAAGGTGCCGCAAGCCATTTTCTGGCAAATGGCGATCGGCTTTGTGACAGGCTTTCTGTACCTGATCTCCATCCTTTACGCCATCAACGACTACGATGCTCTCTTCGACTCGGCTTATCCTATTGCCGAGATCTACCGCCAGGCCACAGGATCTGCAGCCGGTGCCATTGGTCTGATGTGCCTGTTGCTTTTTTGCATTACATTGAACGTCGTTGGAGTCTACATCACTGCTGGGCGCACACTCTGGACTTTGGCTCGTGACCGTGCCACGCCCTTCCCCCATTTCTTCAGTCAGGTCAACACACGCTTGGGGATGCCTCTCAACGCCACTATTGCTTGTGCTGTTATCTCCACGATTCTAGGATGGTACGTCACGAATCCCCATGAACTTCGTTACAGCTGCTAACGAGTACAGTATCTACGTCGGCAGTACCACTGCGTTCAACGCCTTCGTTGGCAGTTACGTCCTCATGAGCTCCGCTTCTTACCTCTCCGCGGTTCTGCCTCATCTCTTGACGGGACGAAAGAACATCGTCTATGGTCCTTTCAGGCTGCCAAATTGGCTTGGCTTCACATTGAACTTCATTGGGTGCGGGTACATGCTGACCTGGTTTGTCTTGTATTCATTCCCGTTCGCCTTGCCGGTGGATGCACAGAACATGAACTACGCATGTTTAATCTGGGGTGGTTTGACCATCTTCGTGGCTATCTGGTGGTTTATTGGACCCCGCAAGAACTATGAAGGACCGGTCACGATTGGTGGTACAACTGAGGTCGACCAGCTTCGACGCGCGAGCGTGGAGCTGAGAAAGAGGTCGATCTAAGTGCAAGGAATATGACTTACAAAGTCGACTCTTGCCGATCGGAAGAATACTGCAATTTCTATCCTCATAGGAAGCATTGCATTCTGTACATATAATGCTCGCTCAATCCTGAAAAAGAGATGTACATATGCCTGAAAGAGGTTCTTGACTTCCCAAAATCCTGGTCTTGAATCTTCAAGCCGACACCTCCCCAAACCGATACTGCGCCCACCCCATACTCGCCTCAGCCATCGTCCACAACTGCTTCCCCTGGTCATCCCCAGCCGCACCAACAGCGACATGAATAGGCAAAAGGTGCTCAAACGACGGGTGTGCCTGCCGAGCATCAGGCCGTTCAAGTAAATCAACCATAACCTCATCACGGTGCTCACCAGGCTTTGTCTCGGCAGCATCCTTCAACGCCGCGTCAAAACTCACAGTATACGGCATCGTCTGACCCATACCCTTACTCATCATCAAATGCCGTAGGTTATGCACCGACATACCACTCGCAATGATGGCGATATTATCTTCGCGCAACTTCTGCACAGCGCGGCCTAGCTTGATATGTGCCGCGGCATCAGTGTCGTCGTCAAACAGACTGACCTGCACGATCGGCACGGTCAGCGGATTCGTCGCCGGGTCGAACATGACTTTGAAAGGGACGAAGACTCCGTGGTCGAGACCTCGTTCTACGGCTTCGGTCTTGATTCCGCTTTCATTCAGCGTTGCCATGACTTTCTGCGCGAGTGATGTCGAGCCTTTGTTCGGGTATTTCTCAGCGTAGTAGTGTCGGGGGAAGCCGTAGAAGTCGTAGAGCAGGGGTTCCTGTTCCGAGGTGTTGACTTCGATTGTATTGGGACGTTCGGCTTGCCAGTGTGCGGAGAAGACGACCACGGCGGCGGGTTTGACGACTTGGGTGATTTCCTTGCCGATGCGTTGGAGCTGGGGGTAGACTGGGTGGTCTTTTTCGAACATTGTTGTTGGGCCCTATCGATGTCAGGAGGGGTTGGCGCGAAGATATGGGAGGGTACTCACCCCATGAGAGACAAAGTATACGGGTGTCGTTTTCGCCATGGCTGGTGCTTGGTGCGGTGGCACGCTGGTTGAAAATGTTCTAGCGAGGTTGGTCAAGCGTGTGAACGGGGCCAACAGCCGTGAAGAAGCCACGTCGTCGGACGTCAGTGGGAGTGTATGTAGACTTGCTGCGAGAAGCAGGACGAGTATTGATATGGTTGCTAGTATCGTAGTGTTCGAACCGAGGTACCGGACCATATCACGATATGCACTTCCCGTAGAACACTATCAATCGTGGAGGAACGTCAAATAGTGTCCTGTATGATTGAGCCTTGTCAAGTGGACAGCGTTTGGTATTATATACGACAGACTGTGGAGGTGAATGGAAGAAAAATATACCTGTAGTCAGCCAACTCGCCATCCTTACCTAAGCCGCCTGTCGCCATGCGGAATTGCTCCGTGTCCCCTGAGAGCCTCGCAGCCTTGTCAGCATATTGCGGGAGTGCCACCGTCATTAATGCTTTACAAAGCTGATTTGAATTCTACCAATGATTATGTATCTCTACCATGGTTTTGCCGCTGCTACTGTCGCTGCACCCTCTCAGCAATGTCCACAATCCAGTCTACCGTCTCATCCATCGCCGTGAAATTTGGACAATGATCAGCATGAATCCTAGTAACGTGGACTTTATTCCCGCTCTCTTTCTCAATCATGTCGATTCCCTCCTGTTGAACTTCCGGCGGTATGCACTGGTCGACCTCGCAGAAGAGATACGATACTGGAACGTCTCGATACCCGGGGTACGTCAGAGGATCCGCGAAACTCCTTGCTGAATGGTTCGGGAACTTCTTAACCC